GGGAACTGTTCTTCAAGATATCTTCTTCAAGATATCTAACATAGAATACAATAAATTCTTCTTAGTATAATAAGTAAGCAACAGTTATAACTCTAGTAATTATGACTAATAACTCTAATAAAATGTATTCTACATTCTAAAAGTAGAGAGGAAAGAGACAATATTTAGGTTCTGTAATTTTTTGCTGGATATGCTATGTTTATAACAGAGATGAAGTTTATTTTTATGGTTTACCAATTCCAAGCACTTGTACTTTAATTTGCACATAAACCTAATAAATGAGGGCAACAAAATTAGATCATAAATGCATGATTCACCTTAGTGTATATATTGATCCCTTCACTTTTTCTTTCCTATTTTTCATACGAAATTTTGTTCACACACCCAACATTATATTTATGTGATTCTATTTTGTTATCAAATATTGTCTTGGTTAAAGTCACCGCATATTGTTGCTAGCTATCAAATAAGTCGTAAGGAGTTTTACGTTATCATAATTCGAGAAATACGTCACTAACAATCTTAAAATTATGGAGAAATTTAGAGAGAAACATCAGGGAAGAACATAATTATATGCACACTATTTATTAATGGGATATTTTTCTTCTTCATATTTTATTTGTGCCTGAAATTTAACTTTCATATATTTAAATTTGTTGCAAATAACATATGTATATTGATCCCTATGTTGTTGTGGGTTTAACTGCCCTGAACATACTCCTAAGTCCTAATATTGTTAGAAAATAGCATTTGAAAGCACATGAAATTTATTTTTTATACGTTAAAATTTGTCGCAAATAACATATTGTATATTGATCCCTATGGTGTTGTGGGTTAATTAAACTGACCTAAACATACTCCTAAATCCTAATACTTTCAGAAAATAACATTTAAAGCACATTAACTTTGAAATTTACCCTTACGAAAATGGATTTGCAAGCAACAATGCTTGCATTATCATTAAGAAATTTATCCTTATGATTGTGCTTAATTATTTCTCCTTTTTTTTAAAAAAAAAAAACAAACTAATTAAGTATTATTTATAGAATAGTTAACTAATTTGTCCTTTATTATGTATATTCTTATTTAATCAATATATATATATATATATATATATATATATATATATATAAATATATATATATATTTGAGGAAAAACAATTTTTTTTTAGTTTTTGAATATTTTTTTGCTAATTCTTTAAAAGCACTTAATTATTTTCTTCCAAAACAACTTATTTTTAAAAAATAAATATAGAAGTATTATAAAGCTCTATATTCAAGCTTATCCAAACTATTTATAAGGCTCGTTTTGAACCAAACAATATTATTCACAAGAACCAAAAAGTGGTCACTCTCATATTCCTTGCCATGTTTTTTTAAACACGAATATCTAGTGGTCCTTAGCGTGGTCGTTATTACAAGTAAATTATTTAAATGCTCATTCAATTATAATAAATTCCTTATCAAACATTACTTATTTTTCTTCATCTCATTTTGTGTTGCACTTCTTTAATTTCGAGAATTCAAATAAGTATTTCTTTGTTCGTAAACTTTTTCCTATATGTTTTAAATATCTTTAATTATTAAATATTGTGACCTACATGTACTTTTTATGTAGTGTTTGAATATGTATTTTATTTTTTAAAAATTTAAAATTTCATGTTTAATTTACGGTAAAAATTAAACTTTTTGACTTTCAAAATTCGAATTGTTCCACAAATTGGACCAGATGAAATATATTTTCTTGTATCAAAACACCTCATCATATGAGAGAGTTTATCTACGAGTCATTATAGCTAGAGAAAAAAAGAGAGAAAAATAAAGCAATAATTACAAAAATTTGCCTTCAAATTGTCATTTATTTAAGAAAAATATGATTTAACTAATTTGTCATGAAAAAAAATTTAATTAATTTTATAAGATATAAGTTTTTTTTTTAAAAAAAAGTACTTTTAATTTGGAGAAAAACTACTTTTTAATCTTTTAAAAAAGCTTTTGCTATTCTCCAGAATCCCCTTCAATATTTCCTTTCAAAAATACTATCCAAACACCTTATTTTAAAGATTATTTTATGAAGAAAAATGCCTTTTTACCTCTCGAAATTTACCAAATAATTTATAAGGCTGGTTTTGAATCATATATATTTTTACTTTAAAAAAAAAATCGTATCTAGTCTGCAATCTAAATAGAAAGGGAGAGAGAGAGAGTATATATTGTAAAAAGTGAACTTGTCAATAATGATAAATTAGTCTGATGAAGCCACGTGAAATAAATGTACTAGTACTAGATGGAAAAGATAAAATCAGAAAGGATTAAAAATATTTTCAAACTATATGAAATTGTTTTTATGGTATAAACTTTGTGTTAAAAAAAATGATTATATAAAATGATACTGTATTGATTTTCATGTACTGTTGTGCTCTTTAATCAACTAATAAATGTCCGACAACTTTTAAGGATGGACATCGACTAGTCGACTACCTCTAGGGAACAATAAGTACTCATGTTTAGAACGTGCCACAAATTAAGGACTTACGTATGCCATACAAATTAAGGCCCAATTTGGCCATGCGATATGATATCATAAGATGAAATTATAAGATGAAATTGAAATTCTGTTTGAACATACGATATGAAATTTTTGTGTTGTATATTTTCTTATAAACATAAGAATCTCATAAATTGTAAAACTATTAAAATAGCCCCAATTGTTTATTCAATCTTACCAAATAAATAAAAATTTATAAAATCGCATAATAAATTATTACAAAGCTATTTGTTCTCCACTTAAGTAACTGTTTCATCTAACTTTAATTCAATAAAAAAAATTGAATAAATTGTAGTGTACTAGTCTTTAATATAATCTTCTCACATAGTACGTACAATTTCCTCAAGTTAAACTTGCATTTCTCGTTCATGTGATCGAGAAGACGAACCAACATTGTTACTTTGAGCCATTTGTTGGTCAATATCATCTGCAACTATATTTTCATGCTCATAGACTATGAATATTTAATCAGTCCTTTAGTATTCTCGCAAATAATTATGTAACACTGCACAAGCTATGACAATTTTCAATGCATCAATTTGATTTGCTTTGTTGTTCAAATAGATATAACTATAAGTTGTAATAAATACAAAACGGTAGAAGCAATAAATTAGGTGTTGGAGTAAATGAAGAGAACAAATTTATTACTCAACAATCGGTTGTTGTGAGTTAAAGTGACTATATGTTGGTGAGAATAATAAATTTTAAAAAGTAATGATGTGATTATAAATTTTATTTGCATATGAAATAAATGGTTAGTAGATATAAATGTGGAGTTGTTTTAACAAAATATAAACTTGTGAATCAATTTTTGTATTAAAATATCTCAAATCATGATATGAAATTTCCATATCATGGTTTTTGGAGAATATGGAATCATGAGATGGAATCAGTGTGAAATAGAATGTCCAAACATTGATTCCATCTCACTATTCCATATCGTGATATGGTATCGCATGGCCAAACGCCTACTAAGTATTTACGGTTAATGGTGTTCACGATTTAGATAAAAAATTGATTTAAATTGAATATTCAAACCAAATCGACTAAATAAACGGCTTTATTTGTAGTTGGATTTGATTTGGTTTTAGATTTTTAAAACCGATAGTATTTGATTTGATTTTGATTTTGTTAAAAAAATCAAAAAAATAACCAAATTGAACCGATAAATTACATACATATGTTTTATTATTATACATGCATAATATATTATTTTTATAGATAATTTTAAATAGATTATATATGTTTTCATCAAAATTTATTTATAATTTATTTATGAAAGTAAAAACGTTCAATACCAGAACATTTATCTTATTGGTTTCATGTATAACAACATAAGAGTGTTTGATATTTTTTTGTGGGACTAGGAATGTCACTATCTCTTCCTTCTAGACCAAAATGATAAATTTTGAAACTTTATTCACAATAAATTCAATGATCGAAAGTTTTGTAGTGTTAGTCGTCCTAACTATTTTTCATTTTGAATGAATTTTTTTAAAAAAAATTTAACTACCGAATAACCAGCCAAACTGAATCAAAATTGATATTAACCAAACCGATAAATGGACGTTACATTTGATTTGGTTGGTTTTATAGTTTAAAATCGATTAAACTAGTTTGGTTTTAATTTTGACCAACAACTGATCATAACCGACCCGTAAACACCCCTTACGTAATAAGGTCATATACGATACAACTACTCCCTCTTTTCATTTTTATGTTCACTATTCTAAAAGTAAATATTCATTTTTATTTGTCACTTTTAATTACTCTTAATATTAATTTACTTATTTACCTGTGGAAAGAAACATGCGCAAAAACTCCAAATAATTCCTGAGTTCCAGAAGGAAAGAAGATTGTTGTCTTTTTCCCTCTTTTGAATGAATCTTTTTTTTTTTTTCAATTTTTATGTATTGTTAATAACTGAATAACCGAGCCAAGCTGAATCGAAACTGATATCAACCAAATCGATAAATAAATATTATATTTGGTTTGGTTGGTTTTATAATTTAAAACCAATTTTATTGGTTTGATTTTAATTTTGACGAATAACCAACCGTGAACACCCCTACTTACGTGAATAAGGTCATATATGATATATCTACTTCCTGTGTCCATTTTTATGTTCACTATTCTTAAAATAAATATTCCTGAAAGGCGAAAAAGAACTCCAAAAGTAAAGAACATTGGCATGATAAAATTAAAGAGTTTTATTTAGAAAGATAATTATACAAGAACGTAACATAGTGTTAATTATGCGCGCACAAAGTAGACACTAAGAGGGAAATGGAGCCCTTGAGAAGGCGTTTGTCTTGTGGCGAGAGCCAAACGCCTTCTTCCATCTAACACAACCACCCACACTACTCGACATTGATTAAGAGCACAATTTGGACATACAAAAGGACCAGGACAATTCAACAAATGGTAACCTCTTTCTGCTCTCACTATTTTAAACCAACTACTATCTGCTCTTCCTATCGTTCCTCCACGAGTCCCAAACAAACTTGCCTCTAGTGTTGCATTGTATTCTCCCACTTTCCAATTTATAAAATTATCACAATTCCTCGAACCAACGAACTGGATGTTAATGTCTTGGTTTTCATAGATGCGAGGTGGTTGTACTCTACAAGAATGTTCAATAAATCTAAGGGGTGTACCTCTTTGTCCATCGGAGTTGTACTTGAACACACCGTCTGGACAAGAGGCACCTGAATTTGGGATGTGACCTAGGTATACATGACCACTTAAGACACCTCCGAGAGACGAAGCGATACGATAATTTGAACGAGGATTAATTCCTCTACCCAATGTGTCGAATACTTGCCTATTAGAATTACGAGGATTTTGGCAAGGGGAAGTTGATGAAAACGCAACAAACGCAAGTAAATAAAGAGATAAGAAGAATAATAAACACTTGGTCATGTTTCAGTTGTGACTTGTTTATACTAATAAAGCCTTCTATTTTATAGAGTGAAGTTATATCCTCATCATGTCAATGTCATGTATCTAGTGTGGTTTGTATGTATCTGAGATACATAAATAAAAACTGATTGATGAGAGCTAACATGCTTCATAATCAAGAAGAAGAAACAATAAGGATTGCTCAACTTCGGCCTCCTTAAAGTGTTCGCCCTGTAGTCACTGGTACGTAGTTCACTACAATATTATAAAAAACAGTAGAGACAATAAATATGCACATTAACAAAGAGTGCTAATTGCTAAAGCGTTTATCGACATTAGTTAATTTTTACTAAATTCAATGTCGTTATAGGCTTTAGAGACATTTATAAAGATTGGTAATCGCCTCTAAAAATACATATTTACCGTCCATCAAGTTATTATCGTTAGTTAATTGTCAAGTAAAAATAATTTTTGACGGAATGATCATTCAATAGTCTTTGTGTTATTCACACTTGCCACTTAAATAAATTCAACGAAGCGATGAAAATGCAACAAACGCAAGTAAACAAAGAGATGAGAAGAATAATAAACACTTGGTCATGTTTCAGTTGTGACTTGGTTATACTAAATAAAGCCTTCTATTTTATAGAGGGAAGTGATCCTCATCATGTCAATGTCATGTATCTAATGTGGTTTGTATGTATCTGAGATATATAAATAAAAACTGATCGATGAGAGCTACCATGCTTCATAATCAAGAAGAAGAAACAATAAGGATTGTTCAACTTCGGCCTCCTTAAAGTGTTAGCCCTGTAGTCACTGGTAGTCCACTACACCAATATCGTTATAGACTTTAGAAACATTTATAAAGAGTGGTAATTATCTCTAAAAATACATATTTATCGACAATCAAACTATTGTCATTAGTTAATTGTCACCACTTTAATTATTATTTATTTCCAAATATGTATACCATAATGTTATGTGGAATTAAGTGAGTACGTTTGTAACTAATATTTTAGCACAAAAACATTTTTTACTGTTCAATATTTAGCGACTCCTATCAATTAATCTAATTTAACAATTCATACACAAACAAATAAAATATATTTTTAAAATATGCAAAATTGAATGGATATACCCTTTTAAATTATTACCCTTATTTAGAAGTGGCACTTCTAAAGGACTAACACAACTTAAAATAATTGTACCTTGTGCTTATTTAGAAGTGGCACTTCTAAAGGACTAACACAACTTAAAATAATTGTACCTTGTGCTGAAAATGTGATGAGACAAATAAGGACATTTTTGGTATTGTGAAGATTAATTTTGGTGCATTCATTGTAATAGAGACATCTGTACTCTGTTTGGTGACACGTGTGTTGTCTTTTTATACTTAGCCAGTCAGATATTTTATTATTCATCTCATCATTAAGGGACAGTTGGAGAGGACTAACATAGCATAAGAAAATTGTACCAAAAGCAAGTTAAATTGTACTACTTTCTCTTTTTATATAAGCATTCTATAGTGTACAGTGAAAGCCTTTAAATTTTATGCTCTGTCTGGCCCATTTTTATTGGCAATAGTTGCTTTATATCCACGTGTAAGGATCTAAAATTACCTCTGCTTTTGATATAAAAAAGTTGTCTTTCTCTTTGCAAAGTATATCATCTCTATCCCTTTCTCTTTTCATCTTGAAACGGGTGAGTCTTTTTGCCCTTGTTCTGCATCTGTTTTTTCCTCTTTAAAGATTACATGTATTTTATGTGATGATTGTAAAATAACTATTTTTATCCTTCAATTCCTAATTTGTTTCCAGCTCTTTTTGGTATTTATTTGATTTTATGATTTTTGAATGCATTGTTGTAGGATTTTATTCTTGCATCTTACTAATTTGGTTTGATTTACTCATGGTTGTTCGAAAATTGGTTTTCCCATTTTTATTCTTCTCACTTTTCTCTTTTTCTCTTTGCAAGTTCACGTTTTTATAGTCACAATCTGTTGGTTATTTTATTTTCAGTTCTCTTATCGTGTATTTTATGCTTTTTGAGTAGCTTATGGTAGAATTTTGCACTTTCATGTTCCTAATTTCGTGTTATATAATGATGTATGTTTTGAAAATGTATATGTACGAGACCGTGTGATGTAGTACTGTAGTGCATCTGGAGCTTTTTTGTGGGTTTTCGTTCTTTTAGAATTTGTCAATTTTTTTCTATTTGTGCAAAGTTTGAGCTCGCTATATTTGGAGTTATTTTAATTTTTAATTTTTAATTTGACTTGAGAGTTGTATTGTGAATGACTTAGAAAAATAACAAAGAGAGCCTATATGTGGAGTAATGACAACTCGAAAGTGATTTCGGAGAAAGAACAAACGTATAGTTCCATCTTAAGAGTAGTTCCATTTTTGAAAAAATTGAGAAAAGATCATGTGAATGTAAAGTAGCGCATGCGTTTTCTTTCCTCCTTTGAATTGTTTCCCTTTCAGATCTGCTAATATTGATACATTTGACGACTAATTTTAATGTTGCTTTCTTATTTTTCTAGCATATGGCAAGATATAAGCACAAGGGTGGACAAGCAGATTTGAAAAAACAGCATGTTCTCGGGGTCACTAGAAACCTTGTGGATGCTTCAACTGGTAATGAAAGCAAATCGCTTTTCTCCACCGTATTACAGTAACTAACAATCTTATTTTTCATGAGTTCCCTTTTGGCTCATTCAGTTTTCTATGAAGATTGAAGCTTCAAGGACAATCAATTTCATTTCCAATGAATTCCAGTCAACTCCAACGAGAATTATTCTATTGTTACTGCTGATCAGGTAGGTGCGTTTTCTAACAAATTTTCTTCACTGGTTTATCATTTTCTCTATTTCTATTGTTCGCGATATCTTTTTGTATCAACCAATTTATCCTTGAAATTACAAAACCTTTGTATTCTTTGTTGGAGTTGTATCGTACAATTTGTGTAGCTGTGTTCATCCCTCCCAACTGTCACTTATTAATACTAATAATAATAATAACAAGGAGAAAATACGCAATGGACTGATAGAGAAGTATGTTACACATCAAATGTGGGTAAAAATAAGAAAATCAAAGTTATTCAATTGCTTTGGCATATTATCGAACACCTTAAAGTCATCACTTATTTCTAGAATCACCTAACAATACATGCAAATAAACAGAGAGAACATAACATCAATCATCATCGCACTATCAATAGGGAAACCACAGATTTCCAACACTGAAAGTGGGAAATACAAATACCCAGCAAATCATCAAATATGAGAAAGATAAGATTATATATTTCCAATATATAGAACAACACAATATTGAAAAAAGAAAACCCACCAGAAATTAACAACAGTTGAATGTGAAAGATTCTGTAGCAGCAATTGCTATAAGGAAATACAGAGAAATAGTTCCTGCAATTGCTATATTTTTCTTGCTTCTTAAGAAGTTTGCTTTGAAATGAGGTACTTCAAAGTTTTTTGGTGATGTTACATTGAAGTAAATGAAGTGTTTGATAATATGCCTTAGTCAACTGAATAATTTTTGTATTTCTTTTTCTCCTTTCACATTTGTACTTCAAAATTCTCATATACAAGGTACAACATTTACTTCTACTAAACTGTATTTGTGATCAATATATGTGTGGTCATTGCAGGAAAGCACCATCTTCATTGACTACATTTGCACCAGTTATTGTCCTTGTGATGCTACAGGGCCTGTATCATATATCCTAAATGTAATTACTAATGACTTTTGCAGTCCTCAACTACTTATGCATTGTGAATGTCTAATACAATGTGCAGTATAAAAACCTTTCATTGATTTCATTTTGTGCCCTCTCCATATTTTTTGAAGTTCTTTATGAGCATTGACATCATCCTCAAAGCTTGCAGTGGAACTCTGAGGATGTAAATTCAATAAACATACTTGACCGCTAAGTTAAAATGAATGTTCAGTAAAATTCGAGTATCATTTCTCCTTTTACGTACATTCTATATATTTATATTTGTGTGTGTGGTATGGAGGGTTTTCTCGAATGTAACTCCTATGAGATGGAAAAGCATTTTGTATATTCTCTGTGACAAAAGATGTTTGATTGATTTTGAGAGATGTCAAGAAAAAGAGAATGAGCCTTAAGTTGGTTGCAATAGATTTATTTGTTTGATGACCTTTTTTTAATTCAATATTTAAACTTAAGTCGTCTTTTAAACTTCAATTCTTCTCCCTATCATCTGAAAAGAATGAACTAGCATCAAGTTGGTATTGATGTTCTGCGTAAGAGGTAAAACTTAGCTATGTTGGAGGGGATGTTCACATGTACTGCACAACAATGTCTACACCAGTAAAAAACGAAGCCAACAATTAAAATATAGCACACTTGAGGGGGGACAACTATTTCTCATGTACTTTCTTTTCATGTTTAATAGCTGGAATGTTAAGTATGTTAAACTAGATCAACACAACCAAGAATACTTCTCAGAATTTTGATTAAGAGAACTTTGTTTGACTTTTTTGCTACCATCATTTGAAATGCTTGTGGTTATGGTTTTACTGATATAAACATGACTATAACTATGGAACACTAGGACTTTCATGATGTCTTTGTTGGCTGGTAGGTGTTTAATCATCAGTGAAGTAGTGAAGTCTGTGCAGGTTTAACAGTTCTTGCTTTCTGATGCATATTTCAGATTAGGGCGCTCAACTTTAACATCATCAAGAGCTATGTTTCTCAGCTAAGCTATTGG